TTTCTGTGAACTAGCTGTTCCACGATGATGTGAATTTCTTCCTATGCTTATGATCAAGCAGCTCATTTACTGCAATACTTGTGTTTTGATCTTGCAGTGTGGTTTAATAATATGACTTTAAAGATAATGAAGTAAGAGTACATCTAAATCTGTGGTTAAAAAGACTAAATAGGTTTTAAATTTTTTGCAGTGCAGGACTGCATGGGACCAGTGGGAACTATATAGGAGGCCATTGATTGGGTACAAACGGCATTCTCTCAGAACACCCACCCCACACACACACACACACACAACTAACTGAAACAAAAAGCCTGGAAATGAGAGCACCAAATGAGGCCTTAGGTTTCGCGGGCCATGAAAAATTCATAATTCCAGATCTTTACATGAAACTCGAGAAGGAATTAGGCCTAACAGCAGGAGACGCTGGGAATCAGTTTCAGAACATTTAGCTTCTTCTCTTTTCTCAGCCCGTCTTTCGAGTAAACATACACGCTCAAAGACACAAATGCACACACACACACACACACACACACACACACACAGAAGGACGCATTCTTATGTTACATCCCGGGTTTTCCCCTGCAGAGGGGGAGAGATAGCAAATGGTGCAAGCGGTGTGACGCACATAGTCGACACAGCCTTTTGAAAACCACACTTGCGTCTTCTAAATCGGATTTCATCTCTGCTTTCCTCAAAGTGAAACATGCCTCCAAAAAATTCTCTGCCGCTTCACAAACAGCCCACGTTCCGGCTCTTGATTCTTGAAATAGGCCAAGCTGTAATTGCTATGAGTTCCAAGTAAACCGTATATATAATATGCACACAAATGTTGTTGGATACAGAAGGTCCAGCATTAAATCTACAGAGTGAATGGATGAACATACAAGGCCACAGGCAAGGGGAGAGAGAGAAAAAAAGGTCAGTATAAAAAAACATTCAGCAGCTAACAGAAGACGTGGACTGGAGGACAGAGATAGAGATGGAGAAAAGGTGTATAACGTATAATCACTGCTCACACTTAAGGTATAGGGTTTATAAAACGTACAGATGAGGAACAATAATTAAAAAATGTATTTAAAAAAAAAAGAAGGCAGAGAGGGTGAGGGAAATCTGCCACCACTAGGCTGCTGCTAGCAGCAGGAGGGTCTTCTATACAAAACAACCCCAGACACAGTCAAAGACTTCCTTTCACACACTCCTGTGAACGCCTGGCTGAGCACACACACACACACACAAACGCACACACTATATGCTCTCAAACACACACGCACAGAACGCAGACAGAATGCAGCATTGTTTGACTGCAGAACTATCTTGCTGTGTGCGAGTGTGTGTCTGTGTGTGTGTGTGTGAGCGTGTGTGTGTGTGTGTGTGTATGGCAGTCAGTCAGCTTGTCAAGTCCTAGTGGAGTGATCAAAGCTGGTACAAACCACCCAGAGAGATCTCTCCCTTCCTCATCCATTCATCCTTCCCCTCTCTTACTCGTTCTATCCCCCTCTCTCTCTCTCGCCCTGATACAGAAATGGCATTAAATTTACCACATAAATCCTGCTCGGCCAATCGCATTGCGGTCGCTGGAGTAGCGCGGCCAATCAAATTGGACTGTTTAGTTCCAATAATTCCCAGACGTCGTCCCCCACAAGCACTGAACCCTGGATGGCTGCAGTGCACCATGGGACAGGATCAGAGCATAATGAGAGACAGCAGGGGAGCTCTGGCAATATCATAATGCCAAGATCACGCACACACACACACACACACACACACACACACATGCAAGAGAATACCATGTGAGCTCTGCTGGAGCACTGTTATGATGCCAAGTTGACACACACATGTACAAAATCACACTCCCAAGTATAGACTTTTCTGTCACACATGTGTGCACAGAAACACACACACACACACACACCACAGGAGTTCTGAGAACAACCTGCCAAGTTAATACACACACTCCTCATGTGAGTACAGCTACACAACTCTGCACCACCAGATTCACACAAACACACCTACTAAGTGAGAAAAAGGTATCCTAGAATAAACGCTTCTGTTTCATTTAAAGAAAAGGGTTTCCGAGCTGAAACACAAAATGCCACTGAAAAGCGAGCGCGTGTAACTCGAACCCAAAACAGCCAAACAAAAATCGCAAAAACATACCAAATGTTTGAGAGGAACACTGTTCAGCAGCTGAGTTGTAGAACATGGCTACAATGCAGTTTAGTCATCATAATAGACAAGGGGACTTTGTCGAGTGGTCTTCACTCCCGTTCATTCCAGATCAAATGTAGGGGGCTCAGCTAATGGCTTTTTAATAGGCCAAGAGGCTTGAGGGTGGGCCTTAGTCGGAAGGCGGACACACGCACTCAAGCTGGCATTAGAGGATCTCAACTACGCACTCTCTTCTCATTGTAAGGGCACATGCGTCTGTGTGCGCACAAGCGTGCAAGAGACTTTTCCATTGTGTAACACACTTTCTATAGCACTGCAAAGCTAGGAGCAAGATGTCTACATGCCAGATTAAATGACTAAGTGCTGAAAGAAAATGTGGATCCGTTATGTGCGGAATAACCTTTCTCACATCTGAACATTTTGAATATTTGTATCCACAGCAGTGCCAGCATCATTTCCACAAACACCATCACCATGAACATAATTACTAACGACCTCAATAACAAACTCAGCTATTAAAGCACACCAAACCACATATTCCACAGCAGCATTAAACTGGAGGCAGCAACTGGCCATAAGACACTCAATGAGGCATGAGCAGAACTAAAGAGCAGATTCATTTGGTTAAAAACAACCATTTGTTTTTCCGTTCAAAGACAAAATGCCCACAGAAACACAGTTTGTAATTTGAGGGAAAATCTCTACCTGAATAGAGTGGGAATTGAATCCAGCTCTGATGCACAGAGAGGATTAGCTATGTACACAGAGCAACCCCCCCTTCTCCTACACCTACCCCCCCCACAGTTGGGTCAATGTGTTTGTGTGTTTTCCCCATTCAATAGAACAACTAATGGAGCGGCTCCTCACACACAAAGAACCAACTTCAGAGACACGAGTCAAGTTGGGAGGAAGAGAGAAACAACAAACAGGGAACATAATAGACAAGCCCAATCTAGGAGAAGACCAGAAATACAAACTTTAAAAATGGGGGGGGGGGCAGGATGAGGGACAAAGATTGAGGAGTTTAATTTGCCTGAAAAGCATCAACTGTTTTAGTTTCCAATTATACGATTTCTCCACCAAAGTCAAATTGACTGCCAAGCTGCAATTTATCGGAGGTTGGTGAAAGCCTACTCAAATCGTGTACCTAAATTGCAATGTATTGATTTAACAGTCAACCTATAGAGAACGGTCATAATGAATATTGGTGGGTGTTGCTGAAATCTTGTTCCCCTGGGCAACGAGAGACTAAGGTGGCCGCAACATCATGTCCAATTACTTCCCAAATTCAGCACAAAAAATAAAACCTTCGACGGATCAGCAACTTTGACACCAATTTACTGACTGCACTGTAGTGTGGACTAGCCAGCCCACTGTATCCCCTGAGAGGCATTCAGATATATTATATAATGGAGGCTAAACATTAAAGCAACACAGGGCCCTAATAGGATAATGGAATATTATACTTTTAGACATTAATAGAGGATGACACGCACCTTAAGTGCCTGTTAGAAGGTCAAACCTCTGAGGTTACTGAGGCCAAACAGGGGGAAGTGGTGAATTAATCAACTTGGTAAAACAACAGAGAGTTAGACATTAATGCGTTTGGATGAACGTTAACAGGGCACGAGTTCTACCAGAGGAAGTCACTGAGAGTGAGAGAGACATTTTCGTATATGTCAGCATTTCGGAGGAGCAGCCAACATTGCGGCTGGCACGGAGCTCTTACATGGAAATTATAATATCGAGAAGGCAGAAAGTTCGGCTCGTTATTCGGGCTTCAGTCCGCACCGAGACCTGCGGGTACCCTCCGCCGATTGGCTGCACGTCACTCCTCAGAAATATCACTTTAATATGCCTGCTATACTTCCCCGGGGGATTATAGTGCCGATGCGGCTCTAATAAACAACACCTCATCGTCTAGTGTTTTAAATACTGATAGGGGGAACTCTCTTTATGAGCTAATGATGGTGCTTTGATGTGCCATTTAATCTCCAACTGCACCCGTGATGTTTGCAGCGCGTTTGTTCTGAGCACTCCTGGTTTTTTGTTGTTGTTGTTGTGAGGTTTGCAGCGTATAATTACCTCTATACGCTTCTGGCGGCCGTGAGTTTTTTGTGACTTCTGATCAATTTTCCAATCCGGGCAGCGAAGCGTCGCGTCTATACTGCGAAGCGCTCTGCAATAAGACATTAGTCGGCTGATCGTGGAGTCCAAGTCCTGCCCTTCACAGTGTTTTCACCTTAATTTAACTGCGAGCTCGGATCGGAGCTCATTAACGCATCCATCGAACCAACAGGCAAAAAAAATCACTGCACTGTTCAATTCGGACACGGACTTCGGGAGTTTTTACAGTCACATTCACATTATGTGTGTGGTTCTCAATAGCGAGTCGAGACCATATTTTCTCAGGTAGTATGCAGCCTTTATGAGTTATTAAAGCGTGTACGTTTCTATCGTCCTAAATTAATTAGCTTATTAGTCGTTCCTCACAGGGAAACGTGGGCTGCGAGTTTTGCCTTACAGTTGGGCACCGCACACTTCGAGCGGGTCAGGGAAATGCGCACGTATACGCACGGTTTAACGCGACCGGAAAGCATCGCCCTCATCAGCTCAATTTAAAATGTAAATACAGCAGCAGCAACAATAAAAAAGTAAAACCATCCCTTGGCAGGAGCTTCTTCTGCCTCCTCGCCTACTGACAGGCATGCCGCCTCTAGCACACAGCCGCATCTCGGCAATGAATGAACGCTTCTATCGCTCTGAAACAATTAAAGTGTATTAAAGAAAAAATAAAAAGGTGTGAAAGAAGACGCGCTCTCCAGCCTTACCTTGGGCGACTCCTCGGTGTACGAGCACCAGGAGGAGCAGGATCCCCGGCGTGGTGCACATCCTCACCAAGCTGCAACCCCCGTGTCCTATTCCACTTCTCTGTCCACTTTTCCCCATTACAAGCAACGCGTATAACACATAAACACACACACACACACACAACTCCTCGGTCCGCGGTGGGGGAAATGAGGACCCCCCCCCCCCTCTCCTTTCGTCCACCTCAGGGTCTGCTGATTAATCAAACGAGTCCAAAACCAAAAGGTGGCTGAGTGTATCGCCTCTAGTCCCGATGTCGGAGTCCGTCTCAGAAGGCGCAGGTTAAGCTGTGCGGAGAGAGAGGTGGTGGAAATCGCCACGGGGTCCCTTCACTCGTGTCAGCGGCGCTGCTGCCTTGCCACTATAAGCTCTGCTTTTCTCTCTCCGTGCGCTCTCTCCTTCTCCACTCTCTCCGTTTACGCAGAGACAGAAATGCCACCGCCCTCTGGCTACCGTACCAGACTCTCTATTTCTCCCTCACTCTCACTCTCCTACTTCTATTTCTTACTTTAATATCATAAAAATAAAAACCTCATATACATTGGACTCTTAATGGCACGTCTGAATAAGGATATTTGTGGAGTTTGATACGTTTAGGGTGAAGTGGATTCTCTCCCCACTTTGACCACATTTAAGGCTTAAAATAAACTCTTCACCTTTTCTTTTGGAGGCTTTTCCAGAGACTGATATTACATTTTACTTTCTTGTATTATTGTTATTTTTTACCTGCTGGTTCTATGAACTTGGTTATGTTTGAGACATATTTGAGACAGACGTAGTATGTATTTTTTAAATCCATTGTATCTATCTATTGACTGCGCGTGTACGCACGTGTGCGCGCCTATAATTGCTGCCGGTGAGGAACAAACCAGGGAGCCACGTTTCTCCGAGAGCTCACCGACTGATGTCTGCCCCCTGACGGCCACGTGCGTTGGACCTGCAACAGTATACCGTGAGAGGTAAAACTTTACAACCGAGTTTGTTTATCCCCTTTAATAAGCACACTGCTGTAAAAACGACATGAAGTACGTTTTGGATTGCTGTCAAGGATTATATGAACAACATGTTGTTAAAAGGCTAATATGACATACTGTTCATTTTGCAAGATGTCAAGTAGTCACCACATTTACAAAATGAAGCCATCCTTGTTAATCTTGGTGACGCAGGTTTGTCTTACTGCTCCCATATCTCCACATATTTATGTCAGCGCATTCACATGTCCATACATCTCTGTTTGTGCAGAGGCCATCTTTGCAAAAGCAGAACAACAATCTGATATGATAAACATCTTTTTTTTTAAATGATCAACACTACTTGAAACCGCAGCTTCACCTTGAACACGTCTGACTACTGAAGGAAAATGTAAACATGTAAGTGACTGATGAATAGATTCAAAACCAGCTCAATTGCTACTCCTCCAGCTAACACAACTGAACAGTGTTGCTGCACAGTCATTTGAGCAGCACAGCCTGGATCATGCATTGTAAATGGCAATAGTAAAATATGTGCTCGGTGCCATTTGTCACCACAGCAGCCCGACAGCTCAGTGACTACCACTGGAAGTAGCTGCTACCCGCAGGGACCTGTAAAAGCCTTTTTATTCTGCCACTTTATTGGGAATGGGAAAGCAATAACTTACACAAGAAACATATGGCACACTTGGATATGGATCAGCACTTGCACTAGCAACAGCCAATGGCAGTAGTGTTTTCACAGTTCCAAGTGGTAGCACAACACAACTACACTTCATATGTACTGCAAATACTTCAAAGTAATATCCAAGAAGTGTATCACATAACATAGTTAAAGCAGGCAAATTATTTGTCTCTTCCAAGAAAGTTTTCATTGGAACTGCATTAGATCAGATTAGATGTGATTTTAACAGGTCAAGGCTTTTTGTAGGTCAGGCCCACGGCACTTTCTGCATCCAACCTCACATTCTTGGAAAAGCAGACAACAGACTATAGCTGTTATTTAAAACAATGAATGTGAATCTGGTTTGTCCTCTTCACTTTTCACAGTTTGGAATATTTCCAAAAGCTGTGAATAAGAGATGTGCGTGTCGAGTAACTCTTCTTGAAAAAATAACGATTGCAGGGTGTGTGTGTGTGTGTGTGTGTGTGTGTTTCTGCCCCAGAGCCGACCAGCATTACTTCTAACTAAACTCTCTGAGGACTTTGTCACACTCTCTCCATATCTCTTTTTCTTTGAATGTAAAGACCATCAAAGACAATCCAACATCCCTTTACTGGTGTTCATCATCATTACAGGGATAGATGTACAGTATCTAGGAGGTTGAACAGGTTTTTCTGTCAGTTTCCTGTGCCTTTAACCCATAGCATCAAAAACGCAGCGATAATGAGAGGGGGAGACAGAGGACACCATTAAAAGGATATCACCACCTTGATAACGCAGAGAAGAGGGTAAAAGATGTAATGATATACAGCGTTAGAAAAGGTTCTTGTTCTGCTTTTATATCAACAGTCTACTATTTGCATTGTATTGCATTAGGCACAACCTCATTATGCTACACAGTTATTTTCAGTACAAAAAATAGTTTTGATAATCCTTAAAGGAAGAGTTGGATGCAAAGTACTGATTCTACTCTGAAACATGCGAGTGATGGATAGAAGTGATCTTCTCATCAACAAGGTGAATAAGCGTATTTCCCATAATGTCAAACCACTTTCTTATATGGCTCCAAAAGCGCCGTATACTGATACAGGTATACTTGTCTACCTCAAAATGGTGGCAGAATACTATAATCAATGTGATTTTTTTATTAGATGTGGCTGTCTTGAACAGCGTCTCAAGTAGAAAACATTGTCTACACACTCACCTTTTCGACATCAGAATTGAGGGGGCTCTGTTCAAGAAATGCTGTAACTGTTTGAGGCCGACACTGCGACACGCGGTTGGCCAGGTGTGCAGAGATGGGAGACTAAGCAAGAGTAATATTACCTGCTCAAGCTCTCTTCTTACTGTCGTCTCTTTCTGTGTGTGCAACACCGTGAATGCATCTGAGGGTGAGACTGTATGAAAGGGTTCAACGTTATCAATATTTTAACAATTATTGCGTTTCCGCTTCTCTCTGGCTCCCCCCCCCCCCCACTGTTGAGTGTGAAAAGAGCAAAGAGCATCTCAGAAGTCCTGTTCTCACAGTGAAGTTGACAACTCTACACACATGTATGAGTGTGGGACGTATAAATGACTAGTTAGCTATAACAACATGGGACACTGCAAATCGGACCATCTAGCTTGGTAAGAGGGAAAACAATTACACTTCCAAAACTCTTTTTAGGAATGTTTTTCATTTGATTATGCTTTTTGAGAAGTTTAATGCTTTGCTCCTAGAAGCAATTGGCAGAGGGTTAAAAATGAGCAGCCAGTAACCAGCATGTCGCTTATGAATATTTCAGTTTGAGTAACAACATTGACTGTGGACTCTCATCATTCAGCCACTTCAATTTTGCTCGGGTGGAGCATGGTGTTCACTTGTTTTCTGTCATAAGAGCAACATAAATGTTGACCCAGCCTCAAGCAAAAGACTAAAAACTAAATCATCAACAACGCACCTTCTGTCCTCCAAACACAATTACGCCTCGCTTCAGATTGTTTGAATTGTGTCTCACATGCACTTATGCTAATATTCAAAACCTGTTCTATATTTCCATAAAACAAACCAGAAGTTACACTTTCATTTGGTGGTGAGGGTGTTTTGGTCAGAATCCGTTTTTTCAAAAGAGGAGCCAATGCTTGCTGCCTTCCACTCACTAAAGTTAGACTTGTGACAAGCTTACAATACCATTCCCCCTTCTACTAACGTCATTTTTTCCTCACATTTCCACTCCTATATCTTTCCACCTGTAGGGATAACAAACATCCCGTCATGTGTGCCATCTCCTGTGTTATCTCTATTGTGCGTTATGACAGAGAGCCCCCACAGGGGCGACCAGGTTTAATCTCTTTAAGCAGTTACATAATGGCCCCCAGTTCACGTTTTAATCAGCGAATAGGTGGCTGTGCCCAGAGACGAATAATCACATCTATAACTTTCTAATCTAATATCCAGCTACATTCAAGTGGATTAGAGAGGAGCGGCGAGGGAGAGGCGAGAGGCACAGGTAGTACACATAGATGGGAGTGTAGGAGGATTTATTTGTGTGTTATTTTGAGAAGGAGAAAATGAGACGTTATCATGCGACTCATGTGTTTCTGTCTGGAGTGTGCGCGTGTGTGTGCGCGTGTGCACGCACACTTATATCTGTGGACTATCTATTGCAAAGACACACCGTCCATAATATCAATCCTTTCAGATCACTTTTGATTTGAGTTGTCTGGCGGGTGGTTTGGTGATGAGGACTGACAATCTCATTCCCTAGATGGCTCTGTGTGACCTGTGCTGTGTGCTGTACGCAGGGTGCAACATCACCGAGGGAACAAAAGTGAATCAAGAAATGTATCCAGACAGACAGATGGACAAACAGACAAGGAGAGAATGTATCAGAGTCATCAAATTGAATTGTTTCCTCAGACTCACACACACCACACACACACACACACACACACACACACACACACACACACACACACACTCATCAGAGGATTTAGCAGGAAATGCAAAATGCTGTGGCTATAATAATCTAAGTGAAAATCCCAGTCAGCATGTGACCTCATAGCAGTAAAGAGCGTATTACACATTTATCATAAAAATGATTTTTGCCGTTTTATATGTTTACATAACTACAATCTGTATAATGGTCTACAGATACAAACATTGCTGAACAAAGCATGAAGAAAATCAATGCGTTGTTCATTTCTTGATTGTGAGTCGGGCTCCGTTCATCTTCATCTTGCCGTGACGTAGTCCGATACCCTCTCTTAAATTAATGACATTTAAACATGAAGGCCAATAAAACTCAATGACAACAGGTCGTAGGGTCGAACCACTTTGAAAGCAGACTTTTCATATAAAATAAAAGGGTATATTGCGGAGTAAAAACACTTTTATTGAGAAACAAATGGGACATGACGACATGTAGTGATGGAAAAAGACAGACGGACACCAGCAGGAGAGCGACAAAGCTGGCTTTATGAAAGGAATTTAAGTCATGTTCGTGGAGAACATCAAGTCAGTGATGTCGGAATTAATACTGAACAGATCAAGTGACTCTCTGCGGTAATCTCAAGTATCTTTACGTATGCTCAAAGACTGAGTGGTATTCTTTGAATGAATACTTGTGAAGACGGTGGTGCACATATTTGCTCGTGTGATGTCTACATGTTGATGAAGGGTACTTTTTAGAGGAGCCCTTTTAGAGATGATTGAACACGCACAAGGGGTGAGCATACATGCGCGCAATCAAGAGAGGACGGCCATACACATTCCTGCCACTGGTGT